AAATCCTAACCGCATATTTGTCTAGTTCCCATGCTTTGAACAAAAAGTAAAGCAAGAAATAATTCAAGCATCTTAGGGTTTAAAATGGTGTTTTGGGGTGGACTCTAATTTCATGTACTCTCTCAGTTTAGGTTCTAAAGAGGGTACTCGAGTTCTCCTTGCTGGTGCCCCCTTGGGCTTGCCAAACCCTTAGTCCTAAGCCCATTACAAGCTTATGTGGACTAAGTTAAACTCGAGAGGATACATTCCCTTACGTCTATGCGGTGAATAAATTCATACGAAGACATAAGGTATATGAATCCCGAAGGTTACTAGCTAGGCCTGTGCGGAGAATAACTTCTCACGAAGGCGTCGCTTTCACCCCCACTTAAAAGGGTTCAGAGCTCAGATATAGAGCCTGAGATAAAAAATTTGACAATATGAAATCATTGAAAAACGTCAGTACAACTATTTATTTGAAAAATAATCAAAGGTAAATAATTGGAATCGAATAAATAAATTTACAATTTACATTTTTCGCAAAAAAAGACAACCGAAAATTAATTCTGGCATGACTCACTTACCTTTCCCAAACGGAGTCGCCAAGCTGTCGCGACTGTCTTTCGGTTGGGCCCCAAAATTGGGCTTCGACTTGAATTGATTGGGTTAGAGTCGCCACCGATCACTTTAAAACGATATTTAGGTGGATCGAACACCATCTTACTTGATCTGCGTTGTACAAAAAACGTGTAGGGTTCGAGAGTCGGTTACGGTCAAGGAAGGATTAGCACCCTTGAACTGCCATTTCGGTACCAATTAATTTGTCGGTTGTCTTTAATTACGAAAATTAGAATTTAAATTTAAATTTAAAAATCTGGTTTGAATTACTTACCTTTGATTGATTGGTGTTTCTCTGAAAAAGAGATCGAAAATGTTAGACAAAAAAATGAATAAATAAATAAATAAATATATATATAAGAAAAAAATAAATGTTAAATCAAGAGAAAAAATTAAAAATATATAAAATATATAAAAAAATAATGAAAATAAAAAAAAATAAAAAAATGAAAATAAAAATAAAATAGTAAATAAAAAATTAAATAAAGCAAAAAAATAAGAAAAATGAAAGAAAGAGAAAGTCAAAGTAAAAGAATAAAATAAATAAAAAAAGAAGTAAAAGAAAAAAAAAGAAAAGAAAATCAAATCAAATAAAAAATAATTAAATATAATTAAAAAAGGTTAAATTTTAAAAGCAATAAAATAAAGAAAATGTGAAGAAAAAATTCAAAAATAAAATAAAGTAACAACTTAGAGGATCAAATTGAGACAAATTGAAATTAGTGGATTAAATTGGTATTAAAATGAACTGCAAAAGTAAAAATAAAAAGTTAGGTGCCAATTCACTAAATATAAGAAATATAAACAGAGACTAAATTGATTAAATTGAAAATATGGAGGCAAATTTACAAATGGTGACCAAATTGAATTGCGACTCCAAATGTCAGGGACGACGGAAGGAATTTAAGAATCTTGTATTTGCAGGATAGTCCTTGGTATATAAATACCCAAAAACCCTATTTTCTCCCTTCATTATCGCCATTTCCTCATATATCATTCTCCAAGGCTCTCCCAACTCTCTCAACATCCCTCCCCGGTCGAAGATCCGTCCACCGCTCCATGGTCCCTCTGTCGCGTCGGTCACCGTGTCGGCCACCGCTGTCGGTGGTAAAAAAAAGACCACTTAGCCTGAAACACTCCCCTCGAGCCCATAAATCCAAAGCTAAACCCTAAATATACTAAAAAAAACTCCAAATGTCGTAGATCTACCCTTTTTTGTTGTGACGCTTCGTTTCTCGGCGAGTTTCTCCCGATTCCGACGTGTGTTGATTTATTTACTGCTTTTGTATTCTCTGGGGTCTCTAATGGCTTTGTTGCTTTCGTGTTTCTTGTTTCGATGTTTTGTTATTTTAGGTTGTTTTTGGGTTTTTGTTGTGTTCTCTGTTGTAGATGGTTCTTTGGTTTCGATGTACTGTTGACTCGATGGTGTCTTGTTTGGTTAATGTGCTGGTATGATGTTGTGGTGTTGTGATGTTCGTCGTGGGTACTGTCCCCTGTGTTTCCCCTGTGGTGGGTTATTTATACCCACCTCCGACGTTCATTGGTTCCAATTATCATGGTAGTGCTCGTCGTTAATCGGGGATTTTGGGATGGGTCAGTCCCGATTTCCCCGGCCGAAAATCTCGCGCCGTTGTGCGTGGTCCCTTGACTGCCGTTGGTAGCTTTAAGCTTCTGGAACTTTCTGTTTCTCTCCTATACGGCACTGGTTCCAAACGTGAAAACCCTAACTGTCTTTGGGCTGGTTCATGCCCAACTGTTGGACTGCTATTGGACCCTCTAGACCTAATTTTGGACCTGGAAAACAAAATGAATGAAATTAAATTAAATGAAATAAAACAAAACAAATAATAATAATATGCTATAAACTATATAATATATATATTTCAAAAATATTTTAAAAAAATATATATTATATATATTTTCAAAATGATTTTATATTATATATATTTTCAAAATGATTTTTAAAACCTAAATAATATATAAATGTTTTCAAAATGTTTTCAAAAACTATATATTATATAATTTTCTAAAAGATTTTAAAAATTATATTATATAATTTTCAAAAATGTTTTAAAAACTATATATTATATATTTTTCAAAAATATTTTAAAAACTATATAATATATATATTTTCAAAAATTGTTTTAATAAAATGTTTTAAAAACTATATATTATATATTTTTCAAAAATATTTTAAAAACTATATAATATATATATTTTCAAAAAATGTTTTAAAAAAAACTATATATTATATACGTAGTTTAAAAATTCATTTGCAAACTATAATATATATAAAAAAATATGTGGACAAAAATTAGTGTATACATGATGTTTTTATTTTTTAATGATGATGTGGAATTATCTTATGATGGTACCTCAACATCACCATTAAGTTTTTAATGATAGGGCACAAAAATAAAACCTACACTAAATATTATGTATTATTTAAAAAAATTAAAATTTGAATACTATAATAAAATAATAGTAATAATTTAGGTACTAAATATGTAGTTTACCCTATTATTATTAGTGGTATGTAGTCATGGCAGTCAGGCAGTGGCCTAAACGCGTCCACTTTTCCTTTTCCATTTGCATATTCAAAATGGTATTGAGAATTTTATTATTTATAAAATATTTAATTTACTTTTTGGATTTTAATATTTTAAAATTAAATATTATTTAAATTTAATATTCTTATTATTTTTCAAAATTTTATCTTTGTTTTTAAAATAACAGATGTATATAAAATCTTGAATATTTATTATTACAATTCATATTCTTTAAATATAACATATTTAGGATTAATAAAAAAATACATAACATATTTAGGGAAAATGAAACTATTTCATTTAAATAATTTGTTAATAAAATTTATTCAAATTATGAGTATTTTTCATAAGAGTTACAATTTTATTTTATTTTATTTAAATTCATTCTATTTGGATATAACTAAAAGTTCACATTAACATGTTCTATTTTCAAATTTCTAAGGGAAGATATAAATTTCACATAAAAGATCAGGCTCATTTTTTCAAGAAAACAGGCCATTTTCGTTTTCTTATAAAATGAAAATATCAAATAATTGTGTTTGGTTTAAAATTTTTTATTAAAATTAAAAAAAATTTGTAGTAAACAGAGATTTTCTAACTCAACGAGTTGATCTTTGTTCAAATTCATATAACCTAAAAATATTTTTTTTCATCAGTCCTTTTATTAAAATTGTGACATTCGTCCAAATTCATATAAATCTATGATTTTTTTTAATCATGTTTCTATTGTAAGATAATAGGCACCAATATGGTTATATATTTTCATTATTGGAAATAAATTTTTATTATATTTACCAATTATGTTTTTTAATATTTTTTAAAATAAATAATATATGTATGTATTATATAGTGTTATGATCCAATTATATAATGTAAAATTAAAATTTATACATTATTTAGAATCGTTGGATAAATAAAAATAAATAGTTGAAGTTAACTCGTTCGATTAAATCACTATTTTATATTTAATTGAGTTAATCAATAAATTATAAATAATAACTAAAATAATTAATTTCCATGGTCTAAATTGATCTAACTATACCAATTTAGGTCGATGTAATGATCAAGTAGATTAATCGATCTTATAAATATATTTAGAATAATTTAAAAATAATGTATTATCTGAACTAATTAAATTGAGTTATAAATTTTGATAACCAAACAATAAAACCATGTTAACTAGGGTTGTAAATGAGTCGAGCTTGAGTATTACAAAACTCGACTTGAACTCGAAAAGTTTAAAATTAAGCTCGACTCGACTCGAAAACTCGCAAGCTAAAAATTATCAACTTCAACTTGAACTCAAAATATAATATTGAAACTCGACACGAACTCGAAAAGACTCAAACTCAAATAAATTTTAGGAGCTCGATTGAAGCTTGAGACTTGAGCTCGATTGAAGCTTGATTTTGAGCTCGATTCAAGCTCAAACTCAAACTCGAATTTGAACATACAAAAATCTTATATTACATTTAAAAATATATTTTTAAAAATTTATAATTATCAATAATGTATTTTCAATATTGTAATTTTAAAAAATCTGTCTTACCTCATTTACCGACCTAATGTTAACAAGGATTAAACTGATTTAATCAAGAAAATTGAATTGATTGAATCTGGCTTAATCGAAGGGGTGGGATATGTTCTCCCAAACCTATGGCTGCCATCCCCTAACAATAATAGTCCTTATCACAACAAATCAAAACTCTATCTCCTCCCTGCCATCTCAATCGAACTTTCAAAACGCACGAGCTCTGCAAGGCGCTACCATTTCGCGCAACAAATAAATTTTTTTAAAAACGAGATTTTGATTCGTGAGAAGAATTTGATTAAATCGTGATGGTTATAAACGGTGGAGAGAGTGATACTGATGTAAAGGAAGGATCAGATTCAGATGATGGATGTAGAGAGATCATCGATGTGCTATTTCGTGGTGAATTTTCTACTTGAAGAGATTTACTTATTAACGGCATTTGAGTTGCTAGACCGCTAGACGAGATATCGGTTAGATCCTGATGTTGACAGGCGCGGAGATTGATTGATGTAACGGGAGGACTGGACTTAGATGATGGATGTAGATAGATCATCGCGGTGCAATTTCGTGGTGAATTTTCTACTTGAAGAAAATTACTTGTTAACGGCATTCGAGTTACTCCACGAGCTTCATGACGAAGGTCGTGACGATCAAGCTATTCGTCTAAAGGAAGTCTTCTCCGATCCTTCTCATTTTCCTGTTGATCAGATCTCTCTCTACAGCTCTTTTGAAGGTGCTTTTGCTTTTCTTTAATTCCTTTTTCTAGTATGAGATCGGGAAATATTTGGAGGTATAAAAGTTATTTCTCTTTTTTTTTGGTAAATATGTACGGTGTTTTTAGTGTTATTTATTGTTTTCGGGGAGCCTCTGTCAGAAAGGGCAGGAAAGAGATAAGAAGGAAATTAGACAAAGTTGGGTAAGAGAGTGACTGGAAGGACATTAAGTGCATGAACTCAGGTCACCGAAATTCCACCCTGATCGGATATCAACAAAAGACAAATAAAATTTTAATGGGTTTTTTTGGAAGAATGCAATTATTTTATTTCTATATAGGAGCTAATGGAATATGTAGTCACTCTTTAATCTAATTATTTAAACTCCTCAGGAGGTAAAAAGTAACACAATTAATAACTAAGTGGAAATTAAATTTATGAGAAAGTATTTAGTTCGTTTTCTTGGAATTTGAGAGAGCGTAAAGAAATTAAGCCACTACTTGGAATTGAATTATATATATATGTAACGGTACCTCTTGCAGCTTACATCTACTGTACTGCATTTGTTTGTAAAGGCATGACCATCTTGCTAGACAATACACACGCGCATATATATATATATATATATATATATATATTAAAGACAGAATGCTTATGCTGAAGATATAGCTACTTAATTAGTGATAATGACTACCAAATGAGCTTTTTGGCTTCCGGTGATATTGGAATTACAAACCATAAAATAACATTTTGTGGAAACTGTTATGATTGATGAATGTAGGTTCTAGTGATATTGGAATTACTAGCAGAAAGTAGCAAATTATGAAAACTTCATCCAACATAGGAGAAAAAGATATAACTCTATAATTTCGATGGAGATCAAATTGAGCTATCAAAAACAGAAATTTCTGATTTGTGAGATAAGGTACCCGCTTAAAGAAATAATATATCTGAATGGCTGGTGTCGCATAGGTCTAGCAGTTTAACAATGCTCTAAGCCCTTGAACAAAAGTCCATTTTCAATTTAGACTTAGAATAAGTGAACCTTACTGATGGTTTCATCTATTGTTTTTTTTTTCCTTGAAAATTCAGTTGCAGACCCTCAAAGTTTGCTAGCAGAGAAAGAAGCAATAGAAGAAAAGTTAGCACTTAGGGAATATGAACTGCGTTTAGCTCAAGAAGATGTTACGAAACTGAAGACCGAGTTACAAAGGAAATCAGCTTTCCATCTGGATAAATTGAGTGGTAAAGTTTCTTATTTTTTTGATATTTGAATGGATTCGCTGAAGCTTCATTTGGTTGATGCTTTTTCTATTTGTCTTTTGTTTCATGTTCATTTTGTTTTGATTTTTTCCTTTTCTTATTCATTTTCTTTTTAAAGAAGAAAAGGAAAAAAAAGAAACAAAGAGCAAAAGAATCAACTAAACCTTTTTTTCTTTTTGTGAATGATATGTTCAGAGAAAATTTAATTTCTTTACATAACTTTTTTGTATGCTGTTGGATTGAAAGAGTCTCTATTTATGACTAAGAATCATTAGAAGCACCAAAATGGTCAAGACTGGCTACCTGATTCATATAGGTTCACTGTCAGTGAGGTTCTTGTGGTAAAGGTAAACAATGAAGAAATTATTCTTTTTCTCTTTTTGCATTCCATGAGGTGGGGCCCCTTTCCCTACTATCCTTATATTAAATATTCTTTTCTGTTTATCATGCTAGCTATTCATACTATTGTTCAGGAATTGATGCCAGTATTTCTGTAGCAGTTGCTTTTCTTTGGCAATTGTTTTACATTATTGATGGGCTTTGTAGGATCCCTGGCAGCAAATATGGGGATTGTAGGACTTTTTATTGCTTTAGTCATTAGGTAGCCATTATTTTTCTGGCATGAGTGAATTCGTTTTATATTATGTGCAAATGTAGAATCAAGTGCGAGCAATAACAAAAATCATGCATTGGAATTCCATCGGCAAAAGAGAGATGCTCTTTTCTCTACTTTAGGCCCGTTGAAGGCTAATGAGCGTAAAGATCTAAATTGTGCGGTAAAGGAATATTTGCTGATAGGTGGATATCGATTAACTGCAATGACATTTTGTGAAGAGGTATCCGAAACATTCAGTAGTGTTTTCCTCTTGCTACTGCTTTTTGATTCTGTAAATCTTCAATAATTAGCATTGAAGGACCTATATGGCTGCAAGGGCTGACTGTCCTATGCTGAAAGCTTGATGCAAAACTCAATAAACTGAAAACTGTAGAATTGTTAAATTACTATTTGGAAACTGCTAGAAGAAGAAACTTCTTTCCCTTTAACATCAAGGTTTATCCTTTTCTGAATATGAAGTTAGTTTGAAAAACAGAATACCCTGACTGGGAGTTGATCCAGCTTTTCTTTTGATGTTAGAATCCAAGTTATCTTCTTTCCTGATTTTCTGGCAGGGAGAAGAGCTTTATCAATTTATAGAACTAATAGAAACTAATTTTCTTATTTTCTTTCTGGTATATCTTTTTTTTCTCTTGCACAAGTAGATTTTGAGGCCCCTGAAGGGGCTTGAAGCTGCAGCCAAAGTTGGTGAATGTGCACATTCTACAGCTAGTTTTAGATCTTCTCATAGCTTATTTGTTGTTTAACCTCAGGTTACAGATCAGAACCTAGATGTCTGGGAAAATTCACCAGCATCTGTGCCTGATGCTTTACGCCATTACTATTATCAGTACCTGTCTTCAAGTTCGGACGCTGCTGAGGTAGGCCAGCTGTTTCTTACTACTCGTACTAAATAATACTAAATATTTTTCATTTGTGAACATTATAGCTGTTTTCCTTTATTGTTGTTGACTTTGCTTTATGAGTAACAGTATCATTTGGTGTCGGTTGCTTTCTTCCTTGCATTTTTTGGGTTGCGTTAAGCCTTGGGCGAGTGCAATAAAATAAACTTGAACTAACATCTTTCATTTCAAGCCAGTTGTTGCCTGTAATATTATGCTTATGGAATTAGGTCATTAGGAAAATATCTATGATCCATAGATATCAATCAAATATAAGAACCTTGACTAACATCTTGCCCAACCAGCCCTTTTCTTTTACATTTGGACATGGTTGGAAATGGCATTATTGTCATATGGATGCTTCTTGTAAGTGTTGTCGATACAACTTGCTTCAGTTAATATCTCTTTGGCATTTAAGATGGTTTGTAATAATTAAATAAGGATCACTGTTTGAACAATATCTGCTTTTACATGTGGTTCATGTAGATCTTTCTACTTACAGTGATTTTCTTCTATTGCAGGAGAAAATTTCTATGATTCGAGAAAACGAATCATTACAAAAAGCAAATGAGAGATTAAAGTATGAAAAAGAGATTTTGATGAAAAACAAAAATTTGGCTGAAGGTCAGATAAATGCATTGACGAAATCCTTGGCAGCCACTCATAAGGATCTGAAGGACAAGGAAAATCAGGTAGTTCTATTTAAACTTGATTGCTTTAGTAGCAGGTCCTTGACGATGCCTCAAAATCTGAAGCAATTTCGTACTTCTTCAGATACAAGATGTGAAGCATGCCTGGGAGCAACAAAGGAAGGAACTAAATGATCACAGGGATGAAATCGCTTACCTGAAAAAGCACGTCGACATATCTGGTTCTGTACAAGATCCGGTGACTAATAGTGTTGACTTTGCTCAACCCCAGACATTTGAAAATTACAAGGAAGAAATTAAGTCTTTGCAGAAGGAAATTGAAAGATTGAAGGCAGAGGAAAGAAATATTCCAAATAAAGGTGATTCTAGCTGGGCTGAAAAAGAATCAACATATACTGAAGAGAAAGTTGTTGAGATGGATGAGAATAATACTCTAATCACTCATCCCATGGAGCCAGCAGGACCTGTAGAAAGCAATGTACTGTCACCGCCAGTTCAAACATTTGACAACAGTACCCAAAATCCTGAAGAAAAGTTAGCAGAGGCAGCTATGAATCTTTCAAACAGTAGTGATGTTTTCCTGTCTGGTGGAACCATATCCCAACAGAATGAGAAACTACCATCTGAATATAGTGGCTTGCATTCAAAACCAGAAACTGGACCTGCTCCAGAGAATATGGTAAGTTTTTATTTTAGTTTTATGATATTATATTTCAAGGGTGGTATCTGGAATTTCAATAGGCTTTATGATATTATATATTTGATATATTTTGTTTCTGTATACATTTATTCATGAATTGATAAAATTAAGCATTTTCTGTTAATACATATATATGTTATATCAATTACATAATGAGATAAATTTATGAAAAAACTAAGATCTAGTATAGTACTAATTTCTTTCCCACCCAAAATATAATATATTATCAATATTCTACAATATCACGTCTGATGCAGAGTTTTTATTAAATCAGGGTTTGGGGACGATTCAAATCCTTGCTGATGCTTTGCCTAAGATCGTTCCTTATGTTTTGATCAACCATCGGGAGGTTCACTTTCTGACTATTAGTTTTTACTCGGACAGTATCTTATTTGTTATCCTTATTTAATTCCATACTAATTTATTTGACTCTAGGAGCTTCTTCCTCTGATAATGTGTGCTATTGAGCGGCATCCAGATAATGCTACTCGAGATTCATTGACGCACACACTATTCAATTTGATTAAACGTCCAGATGAACAGCAGAGGCGAATTATAATGGATGTATGTTTCAGAGAATCCCATTAGAGCATCAATAGCTACAAGTGTAGATACAGTGCTAAATCTTTTAAACTTCATTTCAGGCATGTGTGAGCCTTGCCAAAAATGTTGGGGAGGTGAGAACAGAAACAGAACTACTGCCCCAGTGCTGGGAGCAAGTGAGTTTCTGGGTTACTTATTTCTTCTTTGTCGGTTGTACTTATAGTAGCCTGATTTCATACTCTTTTGAGCGCAGATAAATCACATGTATGAGGAGCGCAGGTTGCTTGTCGCTCAATCATGCGGGGAGCTTGCTGAATTTGTCAGACCCGAGATTTGTGATTCTCTTATTTTATCTATCATACAACAACTGATAGAAGATCCTGCAACTGTTGTCCGGGAAGCTGCTGCGCACAACCTGGCCTTACTACTTCCACTCTTTCCGCATATGGATAAATATTTCAAGGTCAGCTTCACTAAATATGCTTCAAGGAAATCATGGAGAAGCATTCTGACTTGACAGAATTGGCTACGATGTAAGCTCTAGAACAGGTTGATGACCCATGCATGGTCTGGGGACTGGAGCCTTTTGCCCTTAGCATAATATAATATCATGACATGAAAGAAATAGAGAAATTATAATAAGAAAACACAAAATTCTCCACTGCCTTATTTGTATATTGACAGGTTGAGGAGTTGATGTTCCAACTGGCCTGTGATCCATCCGGAGTGGTGGTTGAAACTACACTAAAAGAACTACTACCTGCAATAATAAATTGGGGAAACAAGTTAGACAATCTTTTGAGAGTTCTAATCTCTCATATCTTAGCTTCTGCTGAGGTAACTTTTTGCCCTTCGTTTTTATCATTTTGTAGTAGTACTATTGCATTTCCAATTTGCCCTGCTCTCTCCTTTTACTGTTACTCCATTATTTTCAGCGTTGTCCACCTCTTTCTGGAGTTGAAGGGTCAGTGGAGTCCCACCTGCGTGCTTTAGGTGAACAAGAGCGCTGGAATCTTGATGTTTTGTTAAGAATTTTGAATGACTTGCTTCCTTATGTGCATCAGAAAGCAATTGAGACATGCCCATTTTCCTCTGTTTCGGAGTCAAATGGGACAATATTTTCCAGCTCTGTACTTGAATTGTATGCAGGGTAAATTTTTCCCAATCTTTGGTTTCTTTTTTCCAGACTTATATTTTCTTTTATTTATCGGACTTATGAGATGAGTATATGGATGAATTTTGATAGCTTAGTTGTATTCTGAAATTATTTTTATTAATTTTATATTCTACCAGGGGACATGTCGAGTGGCCTGCATTTGAATGGATGCATGTAGACTGCTTTTCTGGTTTGATACAACTGGCTTGCATGTTACCCCAGAAAGAGGATAGTTTAAGAAACCGAACTACAAGGGTATTTTGTCAATGTTGCATTTAATGGGATTTTCTGCTTTCTTTATGCTTGTTCTTTTGAAATAATGATGTTTCTCTTGTTGCTAATCTACATCATGACATTGCAGTTTTTATTGGCTGTTTCTGAACATTTTGGGGAGTCTTATTCGACACACATAATGGTTCCTATATTCATGGTAGCAGTTGGGGATGCTGCTGATTTAACATTTTTCCCTCCCTACATTCATTCTAGAATCGAAGGTATTGTCTCCTTAGAATCTTGTTAACCTTTTGTTGTTGTATGTTCCATGAGTGTTGTTTGGTTGCAGGTCTGAAACCAAGAACAGCTGTGGCCGAGAGACTTTCTACTCTAGGTATCTTGCCGCTTCTCTTAGCGGGTGTTCTAGGATCTCCTTGTAAGCGTGAACAGTTAGCAGAGTACTTGAGGAAGCTATTAGTTGAAGGTGCAGCGAAAGAGAATCAGTCTACGACACACAACAATGATATTGTTAATGCTGTCCGCTTCCTTTGGTTTGTAATTAAAAAACTTTAGTCCTAATTATTTTTTATTTATCGCTAAATATTCACATAGTCTTCTTTAATAATGCAGCACATTCGAAGAGCATCATAGTTTGATATTTGATATCTTGTGGGAAATGGTTGTTAGCTCGAATATAGAATTGAAGATCAGTGCTGCTAATATATTGAAAGCCATTGTATGGTTCTCTTTCCGTCAAGAACAAGTTTGTCTTTCTATACCTCACAATAAAATATTTACGCACATTTTAACAGGTCACATATATTAGTGCAAAAGTTGCATCCACACATGTTCTGCCTGCCTTGATTACCCTTGGCTCGGACCAAAGTGTGAATGTGAAGAATGCAAGCATAGATGCATTTGGGGCTGTGGCACAACATTTTAAAAATGACATGGTACAGAGGGTTTTTATCACATTACACGCTGATGCAGTTTCTAAACATCTTTCTTACGAACACTTCATGTGCAGATTGTTGATAAAATACGTGTTCAAATGGATGCTTTTCTTGAAGATGGATCTCATGAAACAACCATGGCTGTGGTCCGTTCGTTAGTTGCAGCAGTTCCAAATACAACAGAGAGATTTAGAGATTATATCCTTAACTTTCATGTGGAAATCAATTCTTAGAACTTCATTTTTTAGTTGCGCATTGTGATTTTGCCATTTTAGTGCTTGCCATTATCCCATTTTTCTGTGAAGCCATTGTTTTACTTAACATTATTTACATTTTCTATCCAAGATTTTCCTACTGTCGAGCATGCCTGTCTTTGCAACTGATACGATGTCTCGTCGACAGAGAGCTAACGCGTTTTGTGAAGCCATTTGTGCTGTGGATGCGACAGGTTTGCTTCTCCTAGTGAATATAGTCATCATTTCAACCCCTTGTTCTCCATTATTTTTCTTGTATTATATTCACCGATCATATAGGTATATATACAAGTGTAGCGACCCTATGTTAGGCAACATAATATTCGATATTAATTACAATAAATTAATCTTTTAATATCTAAGATTTAGTCCAACAAACAACCTATAAATCAATCACACTCCCCTCAAGTTAGAACATAGATATCAATCATACCCAGTTAGTATATAGATAATCAACTTCTATCTCGTTAGATTCTCATGAATGTATCACTTAATTGTTCTCTAGTTTCACATAATCCGTAATAATCAAATTTTGTTGGATCTTTTCATGAATGGAATTACAATCAAACTCAATATGCAGTGTACATTCATGAAAGATCAAATTAGAAGTGAAGCTTGATTATCACGTCATAGCTTTGTAGGCACTGAGACTTTCATTTCTAGTTCGTTGAGAAGCTGATACAATCATATGACTTCACATGTAGACTTGATCATAGCTTTACATTTAGTTTCCGCACTTTATCGAAAAATTATTTTATTTCTTATTCTTCCTCGAAACCAATTTTTCTCAAAAAACACAATATCCTAAAGTATATCTCTTATCTTCATTTCATCTTGTCCAACCGAAATATGAAAAACATTCAATCCAGTATAACCATGATTTCCATATATGATTTCATATATACTAGCTCAACATACTCACCGACCAAGCAATATCAGGATATATTACAATAAGATAATTCAGCTTTCTAATCAGTCTTTTGTACCTCTCACAATCTACAAATATTTCACCTTCTTTGGTTAATCGTAAATCAAGAACCATTGGACTATTGTATGGTATGGTTTAACACCCAATTTTCCTAACTCTGACATTAAATCAATCACAAACTTTCTTTGAGATTGAAAGATTCCCTTCTTACCCTTGTTAATTTCAAATTCAATAAATACTTTAACATTCCAAGTCTTTGGTATGGAATGGGGTACGGAGAAAAGACAAAATTGAGAATAAAAAAAAGAGGAAATTTTATAATTGAAATTCTCATTGAAAATAGAAAACACAACCTATTTTTGTAAGGTATGAATTACAAAATAGGTTTATTCTCGTTCTAACTTTTATCTCTTAAACCTTATGTCATAAGAAACTTAATCATAATCGTACAATATAAATAAATTAATCTTTATATCCTAAAATGAATTAAACTTATAAGTGAAATAAAGAACCATCGGTTGCTCGCACATGAAACTTTCAATTAAGCTTTGTGAAACTTCGAAATAGACTTATATCACTTGGCATTTGTTCAGAAGCCCAGAATCGACTATCCAAGTGATGAGATTGTTGTTACCAGCAGAATATACAAAAGAAAGACTACCTTCATTTACTGCAAAGGCCATTGTTTGACCAATGATTGCTGTCATCTGTCGAAAGTTGTCGGTTAAGATAGTTTGGGAGGATTTTGATCAGATCGCGAACTGATTTTAGAGTTTGTAGAGGTATTTATTTTCTAGGTTTTTGTGGATTGAAAAACATTAAGAGACTGATACCATGTAAAATGTAGGTATTTTGGAAAAGAGAATTTTGATTTATTTTCTTAATTTCGGATGATAAATTGTATAGAAAGCAACCTATTTATGGGATGAGTACACAGAGATTTACTAGAATTAAAACACATCCTTGTCTTTATTTTAGATAAGATAAACCTATCTATACATTAGATGAGATAAGACTAGAACTACATCTAAACTACTCTACTCCTAAATATAATAATTAATACTAAATACAAATTAACAGTAGATATTTACATTATTCAGTATGGTGTGTTGTTAGCGTCCATTTTATCATCTTACCTTCTCAAAGGGTGGCATGGGAGGAACAGGGTGTGAATTTCCCTCCACCAGCCATCCTTTGTGAACTCAAGATTGGAAGAAGGTGTCTGGGGAGTTAAATTGTTAAAATCTTGGAAACCTCTTTATTAGATCATTATTTCTTCAGCAAAAGCTTGGTAGAAGTTTCATCTTTTATGCGACAAAAATTCTTTTGTCTTAACAGATTTGGCAAACTTCACTATCCTACAACACTTAAGAAACATAAAACGTTGGTGCTGTTAATTTGTGATAATTTATTTATGGTTTCCTCCCAAATGCTCCATTTTGTCTTTGTATTTTTACATCGAAATAAGGTTTCTGTTGTCCATATTTTAGTTCTTATTTTCATTTTTTGCTGCAGAAATTTCTGAAAATAGCATTCGTGATTTCCTCCTTCCTACCATACAAAACTTATTAAGAGACCCCGATACAGTAGATCCAGCTCACAAAGAGGCCCTTGAAATAATATTGAAAGAAAGGTTGGGTGGAACTTTTGACGCTTTGAGTAAGGTTATGGGAGCTCACATCGGGATTCCATCATCAATGACTAGTTTCTTTGGTGAGGGTGGGCTGCTGGGCAAGAAAGAAAATACTGCACCAACCAGTCCAGCTGGATCCCTTACAGCTGGGGCAGCACCTGGACATCCACTTGCACCCGAGGATAACAGATTCATGCGCATCATGAGGGTCACCGACATGCTTCGAGGCAAAGCAAAGAATCAAGAAGAAACTCAATAAAATCAGTGAAAACAAGTGAGATTCCTTCCCTAACTCCTATATGAGATGAATAAATATTTCATGTCATATATGAGGATGCTAGTAGCAGTCTAGAAGATATCAATTCTTTGATTATAATTTTTTTTTGCCAAAGCAGCTCATTATCGCATATTAAGGAAGAAAAATGAGATGAGATTATGCAGCTGCAATTATTCTTTAATCTTTCTTCTGGTAGAAACAGAGCATTATATATTTTTCGCAATTTGTTGTTTTTCTAGTCACTGAACATTAATTATTTCTGTAGTTTCTAAGGAAAAGAGTAGTCAAGTTTAAGCAAACTAGTGAAGTTAATCCTATTAATGATTGATATAGATGAACTGAATGCAATTACCAGCTTGTTGTCTGGACAAGTAACAATTTTTTAAAATTTATTGGTGTTTGGGAAGAACTGCCCTTGGGTTATATCAGATTAGTCTGGATTTGGTTGGTTCTGAATGAGATTTTTGTAACCTGTTCTTGTTCGGCTCACATTACTATTTAATTAATAAAAGATATATATAATTTTTGTAACCTGCTTCGGTTTGATTCAGTTCAGTTCTAAAAGAACTTTCCTTGGTAAATTGTTTGGCTCCTGAGCACATTTGGTTTGAAAAATTAGAGTAGATTTCAAACTTTACTGATCTAATTTGGGTATTGAACTTTAATGATCAATTAGAGGATTAACCTAATTTAGTTGACATGAAAATGAATCATAATATCATGGATAGAGTGAAATGGGTTTTTTTTATCATTCGTAGTTACAATCATATTTAGGTTGGAAACAGTAGGAAGAAAATGAAATTGAGCACAAATGGACAAGCATTTTCTACCAACTTAAAGAATAAATGTACAATAAAATTTGGAAATATTGAAGACATTTTTTTTAAATATTGATGTTGAAAATTTATTTTATTATTTAAGTCATTTGTTATAGTATATGTGAAATTTATCACGAAGGAATTATGAGTTTCATAAAATATATTTAAAAAATAAAACTAGTCATATGGATGGGAAGAAAATTTATATGAAACTTCTTATGTCTTCATGATGAGTTCAAATTATTTATTATATTTTATGGAATTCATCATTCTCTCATGACGAGTGTTATGTGTATTGTAACCAATGACCTAGATCTTAAATTAATTCTCAAACACCTACATTTTATAATAAAAAAATTGTCTTATTTGGGCGATGAAATCAGTAAGTGTATGTTCATATTTGCTTATTGTGTTTAAAATATTTCATATTTATAAAAGTCTTAATATAAAAATAAGTGTCCAAATTATTATGTTTTTTCTATTTAGGTGCATAAACTATTTTTAGGTCAATTTATATGTCTAACGATACAAACATTATCATTTTAGGTATCTTGACTATAGCGGTCGTTAAAAAAATCTATTAACATGTGTCGCGTTTTGATAATTTATAAATTTTTTATTTAAATAAAAACTTAAAAATATATTTTAAAAAAACTCAATTTTCAGAAATCTTAAAAAAAATCTTGAAACTTTGTAAACTTTTATTTCAAGCACTATACCCACGCCGCTCACCGTTACCACCTTACCCATGTCGCTGGCCACCGTCACGGCTTCTTCGCCCATATAGAATATTGGGGAAAAAGATTTTCCCATATAAGGCTCCCACCATATTATTTCATGAACTAGTATTATTGTTACAATGCTAAGTAGAAGACGCCTGGAACACCAAGCGACTTCATTTCTCCTGTAGAAGAAGCATAAATTGCCATGCACATTCAACTTTATAGAAAAAAATGATCGGTGGTGGGAAAGACACACTGTGGCCCTTGCATTTTCTCCGGAAAAGTCAAAGTCACACAATGTTCTTGGCGTCTTCCCCTTGCACTATAGCAATGATCATAGTTCAAGAAATAATACGGTGGGAGCCTTATATGGGGAAACTTTTTTCCCACTTCCCTACATGAGCCATTTTCCCCCACTGTCGTCGAAAAATGCGTTTCCCACCGTTACCCCCTTACTCATGTCGGTTGTCGCTGTCGTCAACCGTCCAGCGATCGTCTGTCACCCACGCTATTGAACATAACTAGTTTTGAACCTCCATTTTCACCACTTCCATGGCTCCAATCAGCTCTTGAACTTGAATGAGCCGGACTCCATTTTCACCATTTCTTGAGCAGTTTAATGATAAGATGAGCAAGAAAATGATGGTGAAGGAAGTTGCAAGGGGTGATGGGGGAGTTCAAAATATTTATTAAAAAAATAATGTTTTTATTTTGTGAGTTCATAATTTAATAAAAATGAGCAAAGTTTCTTTTCTTCTTTTTACTTTATTTTGTGACCCTAAATCTCTAAACATACATAGTTGTCGTTCACCACACACACATATGGGCCCGTTCATCATCAACTTCTGCCTTCATACCGTCTTCTCAAACAATATTATGTGAGAAAAGCTCAAAAAGTATATCAAAACTCCAAATATCAGTAGATCTGTAGATGCACCAATAAGATAAAAAATGTATCAACCCGTGAAGGGTACAAACAAGATTGTAACAAGTCGAATGGTGTATAGTTTGGAACCAAAGCTCCATATAAGGATTAAGAAAGTTGTCGTTCAAAAAAATCAAAGCATTACCTATAATCAATCGACTTGTGAGGAAGGCACTGTGGGTTTCAGTGATACAATATCTCATGATAGTTTTGAAATGACTCACTATAAATTCAGAAATAATCTTATACAAGTCATTGCATGAACCAATCAGTAGATAAATTGACACTAAGAAGATCCTTCACCTTTAAATGAGATGAATATTTATATTTATCACATTAACAACACATGTAACATAATGAAACACAACAAGATAATATTGTCGCAATCTCCCCGACATCATCCCAAAAAAGATGGTAAAAAGTGTTGAAAGTCAGAAATTTTTGGTGCATTAATGGTCCGATTTTACTGCAGAGTGAATTTTCAATATTCACGGCTGATTTGGTTGGAATTTGACAGTAGTAATGGTTGAAAAATTGGTATGGGAAAATTACTCATTTAGTCCCTATACTTTAGGGTATTTATAATATTAGCCCTTAAGCTTCAACTATAAATACCCTAACACATTTAACTTCAAAATCATCTCATTCTAGCTTTCTCCCAATACTAGAGAAATTAGAGAGTTTTCTTGAGAATTGTTTTCTCCTTTTTATCAAGAGATAATTGTCAGTGTTTTCTCCTTGTTAAATCGAGAGAAGTTGTAATTCCTATTTTATCATAATGAAATTCTTCTACCTTTGCCCGTGGTTTTTACCCTATATTATTTAGGGGGTTTTCACGTAAAATTTATGTCTTCTTTATCTTCATTTTTATTTTCTCAAATTATTTATGCGATTTTGCTCTATCTGATAGCTGTATTCCGCAACAATTAGTATCAAAGCCAGATTTGAGTGTGTAATATTTACTTATTGTCTTTGTGGTTGCCATCTAAAGGTGTATCATCCAACATAAGAAAGTAAGAATGTATTACTCATTCTTTGAAGGTTCCAAAGAACTATTCACGATTGTGAAATAGTGGGAGTTATCCGTAATAGAAGCTATGGCAACGAAATTTGATATTGAAAATTCCAATGGGAGAATTTTCTCATTGTAGAAATTGAAGATGAAGGCCATCCTGATGAAAGATAGTTGTCTGGCGGCTATCAGTGAAAGTCAGTAGATTTCACAGATGACAGCAAATGGAACAAAATAGATGGGAATGTTATGACAAACCTTCATTTAGCATTAGCAGATGAAGTATTGTCAAGCATTGAGGAGAAGAAGACAACTAAGGAGATATGGGATCATCTCACCTAATGTACGAGGCCACATCGTTGCACAATAAAATTTTCCTTAAGAGGAAATTGTATACTCTTCGGATGCAAGAATCTACTTCAGTGACGGAGCACTTAAACACACTGAACACTTTATTTTCTTAGCTTACATCCTTAAGTTGCACAATAGGAGAACAAGAACGTACTTCAAAGTTTACCTGATTCGTATGATCAACTCATCATCAACTTGACAAACAGTAATGTCACCAGTCTAGTCTTCAATGACGTTGCAGTTGCTGTTCTACAATAAGAAAATCGGTGCAAGAGCAATGAAGACAGACAAGTAAATCTGCAACAAGCAAAAGCGTTGACAACAATGAGAGGGAAATCAACAGAATGTGGCCAAAGCAGTAGTCACAAACATGGTAGATCAAAGTCGAGAAACAAAAAGAATTTAAAGTGCTACAAATTTGGAAAAAAAAAATGTTACTTGAAGAATGATTGTTGGAGTCTAGGTAAAATCTCCAATCCACATGGCAATACCGCAAACACTTCAGATGATGGAGATGCTATATGTTGTGAAGTGTCAACCACCATGAAGGTAGAAAGCGATTTGCAGATATATGGCTCATTGATTCAAGAGCAACATATCACATGACCTCAAGAAGAGAATGGTTCCATCATTATGAACCTGTCTCAGGAGGATCTGTGTATAGTTGCAATGATCATGCCTTAGAGATCGTTGGCGTTGGAACCATCAAATTGAAGATGTATGATGGAACAATTAAAGTTATTTAAGAAGTGCGACACGTGAAAGGCCTGGAGAAAAATTTATTGTCCTATGGATTGTTGGATAATAATGCAAGAAAAATTGAAACACAGAAAAAAATCATGAAGGTGTTCCATGGAGCGTTTGTGGTGACGAAAGACGAAAATATAGCATCAAACTTGTACATGTTGAATGGAGAAACTTTGCTAGAAGCAGAAGCCTCTATTGCCTCATTTAGTTCAGATTCTACAATGTTATGACATTAGAAACTTGGACACATGTCAGAACAAATAATGAAAGTCCTTGTGGAGCAAACACTACTTACAGGCTTAACAAAGGTATCACTTACTTTGTGTGAGCATTGTATAATAAGTAAGCAGTATCGGTTAAAATTCAACACGTCAAATTCTAGAGGCAAAAGTGTTATAGAATTGGTTCATTCTGACATATGGCAAGCACCAGTTACATCCCTAGGCGGAGCAAAATACTTTGTCTTATTTATTGATAACTACTCTAAGATATGTTGGGTGAACCCTATTAAGAAGAAGTCAGATATGTTTTCGACTTTCAAAAACTTCAAAGCGTAGGTGGAACTTGATTATGAAAATAAGATTAAGTGTTTCCGAACAAATAATGAAGGAGAATACACAAGTGAAGAATTTGATGACTTTTGCAGGAAATAAGGCATAAAAAGACAATTCACAATGGCGAACACTCCTCAACAAAATGGAGTGGCAGAGCGGATGAACAAAACCTTGTTAGAAAGAACAAGAGCAATGTTGAGGGTTGCATGCCTAGAAAAATCATTTTGGGTAGAAGTAGTCAA